GAGTGCAAATGTGAAGGTTCTAAACGTACAAAATACTCTTGAAAAATTGACAACTTTATACTGTACTAGCTGTAACCCGCGGGCTTTGCCCCGTTTAACTTCTTAATTTTCAAGATTATCTCGTTCGCATGGCTCAATCACGTCCTGGTTGAAGTTTGTTCGCTACGCTCACTCACCTTTAGGTTGGAGCTCGTTCGCTACGCTCACTCACCTTTAGGTTGGAGCTCGTTCGCTGCGCTCACTTGCCTTCAGGTTAGCTCGTTCGCTACGCTAACTCGCCTCCAGGTTGAAGTTCGTTCGCTACGCTCACTCACCTTTTGGTTGCAAATTAGCTGTTGTCATAAATGTAAAAGAAATAATTGTGCTGCACCCTGTTGGTAATCCTTGTAACTTTAATGCTATTGAACATCATAGAACAGAACCAACTTGTTTAATTGAAACAGCTGTTAAGATTCAATAATTCCATTTCTCATAAGGTTAACATGGGAAACTCCAGAGCCACTGGGGCGGAGCCCAAAAGGATTTTTGAAATAAGAATATGCCTATATGTTAATCGGGAATGTGAGCTATCATCATGCCAAATTTCAGCCCAATCCGACCAGTATTTTTCGTGTTCACTTGTCACAAACATACATCCATACATCCATACATCCATACATCCAAACTTTCTCATTTATAATATTAGTAGATACACTATCACATATGTGTAGATTGCTTTATCATACATGATTATAGTGTTGTGTCGGTTTTCAAAGTCGAAATAGTACACAATTAAGTAGGGCTAGGTTTGGATACTTTGAATCGAAATTATGAAATGCGAGTGCAAATGTGAAGGTTCTAAACGTACAAAATACTCTTGAAAAATTGACAACTTTATACTGTACTAGCTGTAACCCGCGGGCTTTGCCCCGTTTAACTTCTTAATTTTCAAGATTATCTCGTTCGCATGGCTCAATCACGTCCTGGTTGAAGTTTGTTCGCTACGCTCACTCACCTTTAGGTTGGAGCTCGTTCGCTACGCTCACTCACCTTTAGGTTGGAGCTCGTTCGCTGCGCTCACTTGCCTTCAGGTTAGCTCGTTCGCTACGCTAACTCGCCTCCAGGTTGAAGTTCGTTCGCTACGCTCACTCACCTTTTGGTTGCAAATTAGCTGTTGTCATAAATGTAAAAGAAATAATAGTGCTGCACCCTGTTGGTAATCCTTGTAACTTTAATGCTATTGAACATCATAGAACAGAACCAACTTGTTTAATTGAAACAGCTGTTAAGATTCAATAATTCCATTTCTCATAAGGTTAACATGGGAAACTCCAGAGCCACTGGGGCGGAGCCCAAAAGGATTTTTGAAATAAGAATATGCCTATATGTTAATCGGGAATGTGAGCTATCATCATGCCAAATTTCAGCCCAATCCGACCAGTATTTTTCGTGTTCACTTGTCACAAACATACATCCATACATCCATACATCCATACATCCAAACTTTCTCATTTATAATATTAGTAGGACTATATCAATGAAAAAGAAGACCGTTTTAAATAGTTTTGACCACTAAATAATATAATTAGGATAATTGTAACAGTTACAAAAATTTGCTTCGCAGTTTCTTATTTAGAAACTGTTTTGAAAGAGTAAAGATCTGCTAGAGTCGTAAGATATAACCAGAAAGCCAGGAATTTGCTGTTCGCCACCATTTTTGTCTTAACCAGCGTTATTTTATCTTATCGTTGTTTATCACTAATTCATGACTTGACTCTTTGCATTTCTTCAATATTGCACAAGCATTTTCTCTATATAGTTTAACCAAAAATATCGCCAGATATGAATATTTACACAAACACCATTAATCTACTGTATTAACTTGCTTACAATATGGACGTATTATTTTAGTGCAGTATATTTGGGACAAGTGGCCGGATGATATTAAAGGGCCAGCATTCCCTTCAAATGAGGTTAGAGTTGGATGGGATGGAAGAAAATGGTTCGGTCTAACGACCAGATTTAGGACCCAATAATCCACTGGCCTTGTTTCTACCATACTTGCTGCGTCTTCTTTAGCCAATTGACTTCGAAATATTTCTCTTTGTGTAAAGTTAATGGTAATTTATGAGAAAGGTTTATAAAATCGTGCAAACTTGTAAAATCAATTTTGGTTTATCAACACGATTACTGTTTTTCGATAAACGTTTAATTTTGGAGATACATTTTAACTAGAGATTTTCATATTGATAAATTTTGAATTTGTAGGAGAGTTTAAATCCAGTCTACCACCAATGTCGATTAGTTTTGTAAAAAAAAAACCTTGAATCCCAAAATTAAATTGTACAGTAGTTTTAACCAACTTAAAACCGGAAAAAATATGTTTCTTATTATTGAATGAATGAATGAATTATGAATTTATTCCACCACATATATAAAATTACACAACCAAATGTACAAAAGAAAAAAGGGCTTTATGCAAAACTAAACTAATTAACTATAACTAATTAACTATATACATGTGTAAAAGGTTGTTCCTATCTAATTAGTCCTGGAATTAGCAGACATAGGCTGTGCCTGTGCGTCTGCTAAGTTGCTATAAAGATTGAATGAAGTTAAAGTGGTGCAATTTAGTTTTATTATTTTGTATGAGTGAAAAATATAATTAAATGAATTTCAACAGTTAAGAAATAGTAATGTAATAATTGACAGTACTCTACAACGAAAAAGAGCATGCAATAATAATAAGAACATGCAATAAATCAATTTATATCAATTTATATCTTTGTAATTGAGAACTTCTCTTCACATTAAACCAAATGGAAAATATTTCCAATGTACATTTTATATGGAATACCTAATGAAACCTATCAAATTTATTTCTAAAAATATACGATGTATATTATTTGTAGGACTATCAGATAAGGGAGCTATATAATGAATTACTTGACTCATGTTTTACTTGACTCTTTTAACCACAATCCGTTAGCTAAATTCCCAAGTAACTCTTGAGGTGTGATTATATTTCACCGTTATTCATTGACTTGAAATTTAGATGACCAATATAATTAAGAATAATGGTTCTTGATCATCATTTCAAATACAACCTATCTATTTGCAGGAGTGAAAGAGTTCTGAGGTTTTGCACATATTGGACATGTTAAGCCTAGGTTTTATTTTAATTTATGTTTAGCATACTGAGATGAAAGAGATTGTTTGTTATATTTCCAATGAAATCTGTCCTCTGTTGATTTGTTGAGGATGGGAGGTTGGGCTCTAATAGAAATTATATAAAAATGAATGTTAGCATGTTAGTCTTTCTTATAGTCTTCCTTATATTTTCTAGCGATCCCGATGTCATCATAGTTTTGAAAGTTGAATGATGTTACTACACTTGAAACTATAACTAAACGTTTTATAGTAAAAGTTCTTACAGTAGTAGAAAATAAATTATAACTTTACTATTTAACTCAAATTATGTTACATTTTTATCTCATTATAGTAGAGCGTTGAAGTGCCAAGATTAAGATTAGCTTGAAAGCTTTAGATTAGACTTGCGTGTGTCATTTACTCGAGATTTACACTGGTGTTTGTGTGGAAATAACTTGTAAAATTGTTATCGTCGCTATAATTCAAACCGACTCTTACTGTTTGGGGTCAAGTAGCATTCTAAATCGAACGTTTTATTCGTTGTGTGCATTAATCTTTCAATTTAACCTGCCCTATGGTTTATATGTACTCCACCAATTTAATTAAATTGTCACATAGATTTTAGCGAACAATGTTCTCAAATGCGAATTAGTACGGTAAGTTACTGTATGTTCTTTCCTGGCCGACTCATATTTTTTTTGTTTCACAGATAGATGGACGTAGGCCAAGGTAGCCTATACAGTACATCTAAAAGTGGATCTTCAATTTCCCAAGGAGATCTTCAATTTAGGAATAGTCCTCTCTCTTTTTTAGTTCGTCGGACCTCTAAAGGCTCTGTAAGCTCGTTTAAGTTGATTTCCGAACCACAGTATTTTGATATTATTACATTGTTACTTGTGTTTGGTGGGATTAAAACCAAAGCCTCAGTTGTAAAGGTTTAAATCTTTAAAACACTAGATCAGTAGTCCCAATTTACTATAGTGGTCATAAAAATCAAATGTGTGAATTTCAGGCCAATTACATTCACAATTTATTGTGTCGTCAACATTATTAGAAAAGTATGTTAGGGAGCAGCTTGAACAGTATTTGATGGTAAATAATATTTTTTTTTTTAAACCGGTTTGGTTTTAGAAAGGATTGAAATTCAAACGACGACGTTTTTCTTCTTACTAAAAATATTAATGACTGTAGGGATTACACAAATAGGTCTATAATTGGTGTCAGTGGTGGGGTCACACTGGAGTGGTTTGAAAGTTACATACAGTATTTTAGTGATCGTTTTCAGGTTGTGTCAATTTTGGGACACTCCAGTGTGCCTCGTCTAATTAAATTTGGGGTTTTCCAAGTAAGTTCGCTTGGGCCTCTGTTGTTCCTCGTTTATATCCTGTGTCTTATTGGAGGACGGAGGATTATTATCTATGCCGATGACGCCGCTTTACATTTTGAGGGCGACAATTGAGAGGAGTATTATAAGCCTATAGTGGGGCTGAGCGGTCAAGCAGCGGTTCGACCAGAGTTGGCCCTCCTAAACAAAATAATATTCCGGTGTCTGTGGACCTCGACCTGCAGCTGCGTTTGCGTTTGCACACGTGCAGACATACCATTAAAGGTCTATATAGTCTGCGGTGCGAAGCTGAATGAATGCGTTCTTTGTTAGTGCATTGAGTACAAATACCTAGGCGTTATGTTTGACAACCGCCTGAAATGGAACCGGTAACATATGCAAGGAATAAGCTGCGCTATTATTTTATTCTTTTATTCCAACAAATACAAGTGTGGCCCCGGGCCCCGCCTTAAGCTCACATAGCAAGTACCGGTGGAATGTAGTGACTGTGAACGTATGTTTGTTCCGAGTTGTGTTGTGTGTGAGAATGAGTTTTGACTTTGTTGGTGTGGGTAAGTGAGTGTGTGTGAATGTTTTAGGGAAATGTTTGTAGAACGTATGAGCCAAGTCTCAGGCAATTCAATATGATCTTTTCTGTTTGTAGAATGTTTTTGTCTTTATTTATTTATTTATTACTGTCGTTGTTGTTGTTATTTTATTTCCACAAAACAGAACAAATAAACAGAATATATGCGCGAATACTATTTTTCTTGTATTTTTCATATTTTACTTTTTGTTTTTTCATGTTATTATTATTAACAGATTAACTTATTTCATTCAAGTTAATTTTGTGTTACATTATATTTAGTCTCTAGTAGTGATGTAAAATACCTGGGTATTTAAAACTCGGGGTAAATACCCAAAATCCATAAATACCCGGGTATTTTGGGTATTTATGAAATCAATTTAAATTTGTTTATATTTACCCCTAAATATGTTATTGTTATAACTATATGATAAATTAGGATAGCCTATAACACCTTTTACAGTAACTTGAAGCTTTGATAGTACCTATTATTTAATGATTTAGCACTTTTTTTGTAAATAACACATAAAGTTTCTTAATAAGCATGGGGTTTCGTGTCTTAAATCGAGTAACACCAGTTAAATTTAACATACTAAAAAATAGTATATTAAAAAAGGCTGTGGCTATTTCAATTTTTATCATTTTATAAATTTATAACCATAACATAAACAGGCTGGGTGTGCAGGTGTGCAGTAATCAAACAAGCCTGTGATGCTACCTTTGATTGAGAATGCTAGAAACTAAACACTCCCTATGAAATGAAATCAAGACAACACCTCATCAGAGAAATAGTGAACCTAAACCTACTTTTACTGTTATTTAATTATGATAGTTAAAATTTCTATTGTATAAATGGCTTGGAAGGCTAGACAGACCTAAGCCTGATTGACATAGGCAGAATGGCAGAATACGAAAAGTAATTAAACTTTTCTGTGTTACCGCTTAGTTGGAAACAATAATATATTTGGATAAACCTACAAAAAAAATGTAACTCCTGTTTTTTGGTCTAACTTAATATAATTTTGAAAGATTTATTGTGCTATAGATTCAAATGTTTTGTATCACAAGTTTATGAAATTAGGTTTTTTTTTTATTTTGATACCATTGATACCAACAAAAGATCTAGAACAAAAATATTATTAAATCCTGCCACATCCTACAGATTGAATTTTAATTATTTTCATAAGTTGTTTACACATAGGCCACTACTAGGTTAAATCTTCCTGTCATTCTTTCTAAATAATAATTATTACTTTACAAATTATTTTTCTTCACTTCCAATAAAATAAATTCATTTATCTATCATAGAAATTACAAAATCATAAGTAGTCAGGACCAGTGCAACCATGCGACCAGGGTATTATGCCGATAATGCTTTATGCTCAGACCTGGGTATTTATGGCGATTATACCCATAAGTAAAATGCTAGTAGTGACCATATGAAATTTTGTTTAACACATTTTTTCATCATTTTACTATCCTTACAGGGTAATAATTGCAAAAAAAAACATCTAAATCTTCTCTAACTTTAATAAACTTTTACCCCGGGCCTGGGGTAAAACCCCGGGTAAATACCCAATTTATATTTACCTACCCACTGGGTATTTACCCGATCCACATCACTAGTCTCTAGTGTAAATTTTATTGTTTTCACTGTGCGGATAATAGCTTTGAGCCCCAACCATAGGAACTAGTCCATTTGGGCATCCGTTTCAAACTAAGAATTTGTATTCTTCTGTAATGATTTTGTTTTTGAAATAAATTATGTTTCATCCACATCCGATCTGTAGGCTACCCTCCACCAAACAGTTTCGGTGGATTAGTTTCCTCTTAACCAAGTAAATAAGGAATACCAAATGTAGCCAAATGTTAGATCCCTCTTATCAAATTATTCTTTTCACAATCGTTAGTAACCAATTGCCACTATATGTTTTATAACAAATAGCTTAAAAAAGTACGGCTTCGGAGAAGCGAAAATACAAGCAAGGTTAGAAGGGTATAATCCCCGTGACATAATTTATGGGTTCGAAACTTTCCTTTTGTGCTGTATCTTCGAAATCCTCCAAACTTATCCAAGGTTGCCAAGTTTACGTCGCTTCATCTGCAAGTCTCAACACTTGGACAGTACAAGTTGATATGCAAATGCGCTCTTTATCCTTCTTCTTACACTTGTTGGTGACTTTCAGACATTCATTTTTACTTCGCAGATAGTATTTTATAATATGTAATTTGGTTTTGGGTTTTAACTCGTTGGTAGCTTCCGTAGGTATATAAAAATTGTGGAAATGTTTCTAATCCAACCTAAAGATGTCAAAGTGAGCGTTCGGAGTGTGCATAGTTATAAATGCTATTTACAAACTCACTATACATACATACATTGGAATGAGAGATCACCAATTTATAACAATAAGTCGATTTATACATGATTAAGCTTTGAACCCTCCTAATGAAGAATTATTCAATACTTCCAGTTCTGATTTGTCCAAATAATTATTTTGCTGCTTCAAATCTTTGAAAAATAATTAATGAAAAAGTTTTCTATAAAATAAAAGAGGATCTTTAACTTTATGCAAAATACCAACATATTGTTTTGGTGTAATCCCATCACCAATGGTTTGATCTAACTGATACATCACGATGATCATGATGATATGGTTCATGATGATTATCGCAATTGTAGGTAGTAGGTCAAGAATCCACTTAAACTGTCCCTGTGCAAACAAATTTCCATGAAATATTTTAAATCTGTAATTCATTAAAATTGGGTATTGTTTGATTCCATCTACCTTAAAATAAACAAAAATAAAAAAGTAACCTTATAATCCTAGATGTTGCCTTTAATTTAATAATTTATACTTACCATACAAATCGGTGTACATTCTCTGCTTAAAGTCCAACTGTAGTTAGCTGTATGACGTGTTAAGTAGGATTTTACACAATACCTCCCGATGTCCGCTATTGCTCTACAAGACATGCTGGTATTCAAATGCAAACGTGGAACTTCGCGAGAGATGTGGAATTTCCATCGCGCATTTCTTTGGGTTAACGGCGATCTTGAGAGTATTCCAGTCCGAAGGGATCATAAACGTTGTTTTATTACGACAATAAACCCATGCGCTTTATACGGATTAAAATGAGTAGATAAAACTATACTACCCTTATGGTGGGATATTGCATTAATTGTTACATCGGTCTACTCATTTGTAAAGGTTTTGTAATTTCCTACATTTTACTGTGTGTGCTTTATATTTATAGTATATTCGACAGTTAAACAACATATTTGCTTAGTTTTTTTTCAGAAATGTATTTTTTTCTTTTAATTTACTTAGCAGTGAATCAGAATATGTTTTACAAAACCGTACAAATGGGTGTCCAGAACCTCCTATTTCCCAAAATATGTGTCGTTACTATTCAAGGCGTCACCAACCAAAACAGAACTGTAAGATGCAGTAGAGGACAGTTTTTGTCATTTACTGAAACATTGACGTTATTAAGCATGTATTTGTTTTAAGATGGTCCATACAAGAAAGTTCGTTTACAACTCATACTGACAGTTGTGGAATTTTAAAACTGCGAAGCCTCTAAATTTTACCTCTTTGCGTTGTCTCGTCTCATCGAACATTTCTATATTTTATTAAAAGACATGGTACTAAGACCGTTAGTGTGTCCATGACTTGGTAGTACAGTTTATTAGTTATTAATCGGTCACCAGTGGAGGGGGTGGGGTAGAAGGTGAAGCACAGGGCTATAATCAAGTACACGGGTCCGTCTGTTTGATGAATATTTATCTAGTTAGGTCTAGACATGAATGTCGATAGTCGGCTTGTACTTGGTTGTTGTACAGCATTCAGCTGTAAGTTAAATTGCTCTGACCATACTGAAGTTCGATGAATTACTGTGGTGTATTTACTAGTCAAATGTTATATTGCTTTTGTAATTCTAATACTGTAATTCAAAAAGTTGTGTTGTTGTGCATTAGAATTTATTTATTATATTTTGGCGAAGAATTTACATGGTTCTTTAATCAACAGACGCCATAAAGTAAGGCGAGAATTGAAGTCACTCTTAAGTTGTGGCTTTGAGTTTGGGGATGCAATTAATCTAGAATGTTTGGTTATAAACAAGTTATAACTAACTACTAAGGAATCCTGGCAAAAAATCGCAAACAATAAAACTAAACCTCTAATTATCAACAAATACCTTTTAAAAAAAGAAACCAATCCTCCAACAAGGAACCAATCATCCAACAAGGAACCAATCCTCCAACAAGGAACCAATCCTCCAACAAGAAACCAATCCTCCAACAAGGAACCAATCCTCCAACTAGCAACCAATCCTCCAACAAGGAACCAATCCTCCAACAAGAAACCAATCCTCCAACAAGGAACCAATCCTCCAACTAGCAACCAATCATCCAACAAGGAACCAATCATCCAACAAGGAACCAATCCTCCAACAAGGAACCAATCCTCCAACAAGAAACCAATCCTCCAACAAGGAACCAATCCTCCAACTAGCAACCAATCCTCCAACAAGAAACCAATCCTCCAACAAGGAACCAATCCTCCAACTAGCAACCAATCCTCCAACAAGGAACCAATCCTCCAACAATCAAGCCAAACCTTCAAAGCACCACTGAGACAGGTTGAGAATCAGTTAGTAATCACCCCATCAAGAACTGTATTATCACGTGATTGAACTGTAATTAAATACCACCTTGTCATGAATCACGCTGAGAGCCAGACTACTGACACAGCTTCTACCACAGCTTCTACACAACGATCGATAGACTGCCTGCTGCTACATGTCTTGTATGAGCTTATTGGTCGAGTCTTTGCGGAAATGTGTTTTAGTTTTGGCATTGACTTTCCACAGAATAGACTTCCTATCCGATGTAATATGAAGCCAACTATGACAATATTCTCTGTCAAGTGATAAATAAATCAGCTGTTGGCATGGATTTGAATACAGATTTAACATAATACACTAGTATCCTCTTAGATGGTCCTGAACTTCACCTATTTTCTTGCCTTCAAATGTTTACATTGGATGGGAAGTCTACACTGTGTATAGTCAATGGTTTTAGGTAAAAGTTTTAGATGTTAATAAGTCTTTCTTAAGATTTATCTGCGTGCGAATCATTTTAACAATAGACGAAACAAAGGTGATGTCAATAGGGTGTATTGAAGTAGTTGTTCATGGTTGAAAAGTCAGTACCTGTATTATGACATTAGACACAGTACGATTATAAATTTGATTTAAAAACATTCCAAATATTAATAAATCATACCGTGAACTTTTGCGAGTTGAAACAGTAGTTTAAAGTAATCGTAATCTGTCATTATTTCGCTTCACACCCTTCTGATATTTTACCGCCAACCTGTATCTTTTGAGATCTGTCTACAAATATCAAGAGATTAATGAAACAAATATTCCAGAAAGCCACATTGGACATTTAAATACATTTTCGAACTCCTGTCCGCTAATACAGTATCTGTAGATATTTGAAATGTCTCACGAGGATTTTAATTTCTCAACCAGTTCACCAATTATGATTTTAATTAGTTGTTCCGAGGCGCTGCAGAGTCGGGAAAGTTGTTTAATTAAGTCGATCATTCATTACTTGAAACTCCAATTGGCGACGGATCGCATGACGAGGCTGCTATTGATCGGTTTCTTTATTTAACAAGCCGACCCGTATTGTGGCAATGGCAATACAGTGTAGCGGTGACCTCTTTACATACAACACTAGGATGAAATCCTATACTAACTCTAGTATGATCAATTATCTACTTGTAGTTTGAATTTTTAAATTGTTATTTTGAATTCTATGGATATTTTTTTAAATTGTTGACTTTGGTGTTTTCGGAGTTAAGACATGATTGGTGAAAGGCTCTACTTCTGGAAAACTTTTATTTTGATAAAATTATAACTCGTTTTAAAAACAAACATTTTTACATTGGGCTTATTACGATTTAAATCAAACAAAAACACAACGCCGCGCCGGTAAAGAAGAAATTGAAGTCGAAGTCATTGAAATCTTATATATTAAAAAAAATTGGTTTTTCTTTTCCGAGTTCGTTTGGCTCTTCTACCCGACCGATTTTCATGATTGAGGTCTCAAATTGAAGGTATGCACGCTCAGATTTGCCATCAAGCATCGGCATATATTTATCTATAATCCTACTCGGCTTTTACGTAAAAGAAATTTGCTCCCCATGTTATTCTTATGGGAGTTAAATTTGGTTTATCTTTGCCGAGTTCGATTGGCTCTTCTACCCGACCGATTTTCATGATTGAGGTCTCAAATTGAAGGTATGCACGCACAGATTTGCCATCAAACATCGGAATATAGTTATCTATAATTCCACGCGATTTCTACGTAAAAGAAATTTGCTCCCCATGTTATTCTTATGGGAGGTAAATTTGGTTTATCTTTGCCGAGTTCGATTGGCTCTTCTACCCGACCGATTTTAATGATTGAGATCTCAAATTGAAGGTATGCACACACAGATTTGCCATCAAGCATCGGAATATAGTTATCTATAATCCTACTCGGCTTATACGTAAACGAAATTTGTTCCCCATGTATTTCTTATGGGAGTTAAATTTGGGGTTTCTTTGCCGAGTTCGTTTGGCTCTTCTACCCGACCGATTTTCATGATTGAGGTCTCGAATTTAAGGTATGCACGTACAGATTTGCCATCAAGCATCGGCATCAATGTATCTATAATTCCACGCGATTTCTACGTAAACGAAATTTGCTCCCCATGTATTTCTTTTAGGAGTTAAATTTTGTTTCTCTTTGCCGAGTTCGTTTGGCTCATCTACCCGACCGATTTTCATGATTGAGGTCTCGAATTGAAGGTATGCACGCACAGATTTTCCATCAAGCATCGGCAAATATTTATCTATAACCCCACTTGGTTTATACGTAAAAAAATTTCCTCTCCATGTATTTCTTATAGAAGTTAAATTTTGTTTCTCTTTTCCGAGTTCGTTTGGCTCTTCTAACCGACCGATTTTCAAGATTGAGGTCTCAAATTGAGGGTATGTACGCACAGATGTCCCATCAAGCATTGGAATATATGTAGCTACAGTCCAAACCCGGATTATACGTAAAATAAATTTGCTCTATTGGTAGTTAAATTTAGTTTTTCATTTCCCAGTTCGTTTGGCTCTTCTACTCGACCAATTTTCATGGTTGAATTTTCAAATTGAAGTTATGCATGTCCAGATTTCACAACAAGCATCGGTTTAAGATACAATATACAAAATACAAAAAAAAAATAAAAAATACAAGGTTAAACCCGTCGAAATCAACAGGTACTGTTGAGGTAATTCTATTTTGGAACCATTTGGTTTGTTTGTGATTCAGCACTATGCCAATCTTGATAATCATAATTAATTACACAAATGATGCCGGAATTTTACCGAAGGTTCTTATATGAAAATAAATAGGATAACGTAATTAGAATTGAGTATAGATATCAACTTTCGTTTTTTCGTTTCGTTTAGTTTTTTGTTTTGTTTTTGTCTAAATAATCTACTTTTATTTGGGCTATCGGTATAATATCGGGTTATACTTTTATTCGGGCGGAGGGTATGTTGAGTTGAGCTGACTCTGAACTTTAGTTTCAAAACATTTTCCAATATCTTATCTTAGACAAAATTTGTGATTCCTTCAAAAAATATTTACATCTGTCTTTCGAACATATGATTGAATATTTATTTAATTCCGATAAGGTGTTTACATTTTAAATGCATTTTCGTTTTGTTTACTAACACGTTTACGATTTTATCTGTGGCATTTATGATGAAACTGCGAACAGCCTTGAGATGACTGGTTTGCCTTCTCACAAATTAGTCTTAAAGGAAGGTGCCATTGTGATGTTATTAAGAAATTAAAACTACACAGCAGGTCTTCTAAACGGAACAAGACTTATTGTCAAGAAAATGTATGAAAACAGTTTAGACTTAGAAATCATAACTGGCACAAATATTGGACAACGTGCACTATTACCCCGCATTGATCTCTCTCCATCAGATTCTACAGTACCATTGTCTTTCAAACGAAGACAATTCCCCATAAAGGTTGCGTTCTGCATGACCATCAACAAGGCGAAGGGCCAAACGATTGATCGAGTTGGTGTGTACTTGCCTGAACCAGTATTTAGTCACGGTCAGTTGTACGTCGCCTTATCGAGAGGGAAATCTTTCGATACTGTAAAAGTAGAAACTAAATCAAAAGGTGGACGAACAGCAAACATTGTTTGGAAGGAAGTATTATAAAAGTCGTAATATTAATAAAGATTACCAGATGGAGGGAAATACTCCTGAGAATATGCGTACGTGCAATTCTACCGACAGAGATGTCTATTTTACAAGAAATATTGTTGTTAATAAAACACTCTTAATAAAGCCTCATTCACGCTGTGTTACATATGAGTTAACAAATGTACGTGCTTTCTCTGTAGGTGCTTTTAGGAAGTGTGTAGATATTGTTCTGGATTAATTGATTTTAAAACGGAAAAAAATACATCGGGACGATTTTCTCTGTGTTATATGGAATGTGTTATACTTTAATTTGGTCATAAGGCGAAATTAATCCAGCAGCCCTATAAGAGTTTAATTAAAGTTGTACCGCCCTTATTAAGTTTAGTATTTTATTTTTTTATTATTAATTTCAATGCTGCGGAGCAGCACGGGTCATCTAGTATTAAATTATTAAATAATGATAAACCTGTTAGACATTTTCATTCGACATAAAACTGTTGTACTGAAACCGCGTGAAAATGTTCAGTTTTTTAAGACCATCTGACGGGGAGACCCAAATTTTTATTATACGTAATGTTTCATGGATATCTCATACTTTGCTCTAATCGAGGATACAGGTAATTTAATTATACTATCAGCATTATATTATACTAGCAATTTCCTGTGGTATTTCCACGAATATTAGAACAATAACGCTATGGATCTTAAACATAGACAAAATAAGTAGTTGAATTATATATTAATAACATGTGGTTTGGAGGTTTTTTGACAGTTCCGTTAAAAAATTAATTCAAACGTGTTTTCTTTCGGGCTAGTAACGTAATTTACTTGTGGGTTTTTATAATATGGATGAATTGCACAAGATGGCGATCAGCATCATTTTGAGTTATGTTAATTTCCAAGCTTCTTTGCCTTTCTTCTGTTATACGTTATTGCAAAACTTAACATAATAGGATAGCTACATTATAATAGGTTATAACTAAATAAAGGATAAACCTGTTGCTTACCGTATGGCATTATAAGGGTGCTAAAATTCTTACTGTAAATTTTACTGTAAAATAATAGACTATCATTAAGTCACCACCTTATCAACTTTGCAACACACGAAAAGATGTTTTAGATTGTTTATGATGGGGAGTTTGCTTACAACATCCAGAGTCAATGTAACGGTCAGCTGGGGGAAGAGTTGTCGACATATCTAGACTACCTTGAGGGACTCCAAATGTTACGTCATCGGGGAATTCAACTCCAGGCTTGACTCATATAATGCTGGGACATTGTATCATTAAACGCACGTCCCTTGTTGATTATATGAAAATTGACGGTTTAAAAGAGAGATTGAAATGAAACAGATAAATTCAGACCTCGGATTGGGCGTCACTTTTCCAATTTAAGGAGGGAACGTGTTCGATTTTAATGAT